CAAACAGAAGAGTCTCATTTCTTTAACATGGAGAACAGATGGAAGAAGGTAAATGCTGCTTGTTTCAGTGTTTCTCCATCACAGCAGAACAATATTGTGGTGAACCTGGTTGCATCCTGAAGCAAAGTTTTCAGAAGAGAGTCTCACCCTGAACAAGGAGCCCCAGGGTGGCCAGCAGTAGAATGGGAGCACAGTGTGTGTGTGTGTGTGTGTGTGTGTGTGTGTGTGTGCGTGTGTGTGTGTGTGTGTGTGTGTCCTCAGTGAAGTGTATCAGTCTCTGCAGTAGCTTCCAGCTGCAGCACTCACTTCAGTTTCTGTTCAGTCTGACTGAGGGAGGTTTTTGTACGACGCTTTTTCACTGTGTGAACACATACTGACTGTTGATATAGTGTTCACTCTGACAGTAGTAAACTGCTGCATCTTCAGTCTGGACTCCACTGATGGTCAGAGTGAAGTCAGAGTTTGATCCACTGCCTGTAAAACGATCTGGGATCCCTGATGCTCGAGTGCTAGCATAGTAAATGAGGAGTTTAGGAGTTTCTCCATCTCTCTGTTGGTACCAGGCTAAATTGTTTCCACCATTTACTTGTTGACTGGTCCTACATCTGATGGAGACGGAGCCTCCCAGAGCAGAGCTCACTGCTCCAGGCTGAGTCACTGTGACCTGGCCTCTGGACTCTGAGGATACAGAGACAAGGAACATAAAGCAGCGTCATGGTTTTGTGGGCTTCATTTCAGAGGGACGGATGTTCATAGAGGAGAGGAGTTTGATTCTCTGGACTTTACCTGTGAAGCAGCAGCAGAGGAGAGTCCAGATGAGGACGCAGATCAAAGTCATGTTTTTGATGAGGAGGATTTCTGTGGCTTCTGTTGTCATGAAGGACAGCTGTGAGCCATCCAGTGTTCAACTCTCAGGACTATAAACTCTCCCAGAGCACTGGAGCATGGTGTTGCTGATGCAAAGTGGCTCTCTATGGAAATGCTCTGACTGACTCCAACAGGGACTTGAATTACTCTGATTTTTATCAATGGGTCAATCACTTTATCAGAGTATTGATAATATTTTTAAAAAACCTCTTTTATATGATTTTGGTTTTATTTTGTTTAAAATATAATAATAAGTTATTTCAGTTAATTGAAAATGTAAATTTAATTTAAAATGAACTAGTGCTGGGCAACGATTAAATTTTTTAATTACAATTAATCGCATGATTTTCTTGAAAATTAAATGATGAATTCTAAAGTAGTGTATTGCTTGATTTAAATGTACTGCTACATACACAAAAATGCAAAAACATGTGGTTTGCAAAGAGCTTTTTACCAGCAGTATTCCCTTTACACAGCAGCAATAAAATATTTCTTGTAAATCTCAACTTAAACATTAATGTAATCAAATAAATATTAAACCACAGCTATTTACCACTGCCAGGGAATTACCTTTTATCTAGCTTGTTGAAACAAGTTACCATCAGAGTCCAGTTTTCTTGGGATTGGGAACATAGAAACAGTCTATGTTCAGTAGAAAGTGTCCCTGTTACAGTGAGGTGAAGTGGTCGAGCACAAGGTGTACTGGGGTTCCCGTGAAACTGTCGTGGTCGTGGTCGCCTCACGCACACGCCCGCCTGCTGCCAAAGTTGAGTTGCCTTGAACTTTTTGTACGAGACGCGCAGCACAAATCATTGGAAGAGAGACTGATCCTCGCTGTTTGTGAGTTTCCAGAATTTAAATAGTTATCAGGACATCAACAGGAGAGAATTCACATGGCAGAGCATCCCCGCAAAACTAAATGCAGGCCTATCAGGTAAAGTTAGTCTGTGTACAATTTTAATTTAAGTTAAAGGCTGCGGCTGTGTAGCGCACAGAAGCCGTTGCCATGGTTACTATCCATAGAGCGCCGGCCGTTCACTCGCAGAGAGCTGTCTCCCTGTCTGTTCACCTGAGAACCTGCTGAAGCCTCTCCGCTGCTTGTTTGGGTTATTTTGCAGGCTGATCAACATCCCACCTCTCCTGTGACCCATGGTTTGATTGTAGGCCTATGTGTATTCAGAGCCAGTGAGCAACGGACTTTCAAAATAATAATTTAAAAAACTGTCGCCGTTAATTAATGAATGCTTTAATGCGATAATAATGCGTTAACGCAGCCCTAAAATTAACATATCAAATTAAAACAGTCATATTTTCACATGTCAGCTGATAAAATGTTACAAACAGAAACTATTTTTGGTGAGTTTGTTTGTGTAAAAGTCAGAGAGCCGTGTCTCTCTACAGTGAGAGGTTTTTGTACGGCGGCTCAATGAGTTTGTATCACTGTGGGACACGTTCGGTGGAGGAACCAGACTGGATGTTGGAAGTAAGTCAAACCTTTAACAAAACTTTTATTTCAATAGCTATTTTTCAACGTTTATAATCAGCATGCCAGAAAACTATTTGACTTTCCATATTAATGTATAAAGTTTATTAAAATTATTTGCACTAAGAAACAAAGTTCACTTTAGTAATAGAAATTTACCAACTCATTATATAAATAGTAAATATACAATATTAAGCCACAGCAGAAATCATTATTTCCAACCTTAATGGTAAAGTTGCATCTTGAGGGCTTGTAGCTTTAGTTCAGTCTGACAAAGTCAGAGAGCCGTGTCTCTCTACAGTGAGAGGTTTTTGTACAGCGGCTCAATGAGTTTGTATCACTGTGGAGGACTTTTGGTGGAGGAACCAGACTGGATGTTGGAAGTAAGTTTCTGCTCAAATACTAAATACAATATTATCAAGTCCTTTAAATTCAACTTTTCAATGTTTAAGGCAGATAAATATATCTTATCTTTTAATTATAAAACTTTTATTGTTCATGTTTTTATTTCTCTTCCTTTACCATGGAGGCTAACTCAGAGCAGCTTAACTAAACTGTACCTCACACAGTCCTGTCAAAATGAAATATAATCAACTTGGAAGTGAAGAAAATATAAAACTTTAATCTTAATGTAAAAATGTTTAGTTAATTTTAAAATGTTCACCACAATAATGGCTGTTGTTGTGATTAAATACAATTCACTTTCATGTTAAACTGAAGTAAATATAAATATGAGTGTTTTAAAAATGTTGCCTATTGTTATGAATTTGAAAAAAAAAATACAATATTTCCATATTAATAGTGAAAGGACAACTGGCACTACTTTCAACACAGTGGTCAGTGTATCTGTCAGTAAGTGAAGTGATACAGCTGAGCAGTGATACCTGTGTGACTGAATTTGCACTTGAAAAGTAACGACGTTTAAACTGTATCTAGTGGTTCAACTCATCATTATAGCTGTTAATGTAAGTGAAGAAACACTTTGAAATCCAGATGAAGAACATCTGATTGTTGTCAGATCATTTCTGTTTTGGTTTCCACAAAATAATCTATTGTATAGTCAAGTTTCTTGATGATCTTGATAAGAAAGTTTATTTATTTCCAGTGTAGTTTGATATATTTCAGGTCGTTCTGTATGATGATTCTCTCTGTGCTGATTTGCATGAGAGGCTTCTTAAAGGGAAGTGAAACAATGTGTGAGTGAGTGACTGGTGGAGCAGAAAAAACATCTGACAGAAACTCCTTAAAGGAGAAAATCAGCTCTCACACAGTAAAGGTGTCCTCTAAGCTGATTGGTGTCTCCTAGGTGATGTCCGTCCCACCCTGACGGTGCTGCCCCCCTCCAGTGAGGAGCTGCAGCAGGGGAAGGCCACGCTCATGTGCCTGGCCAACAAGGGCTTCCCCTCAGACTGGAGTCTGGCCTGGAAGGTGGACGGCAGCAGCAGCAGCAGCAGCTGGGAGGAGAGCAGGAGCCCCGGGGTGCTGGAGAAGGACGGCCGCTACAGCTGGAGCAGCACCCTGAGGCTCCCTGCAGACCAGTGGAGGAAGGTGGGCTCTGTGACCTGTGAGGCCACCCAGGGCTCCCAGGCTCTGGTCTCAGAGACACTGAGGAGAGACCAGTGTTCCCAGTCCTGACCTGACTCACTGGGACTCTGCTACTGGTTTTACTCTGCTCTCTGAACTCTGTAACTCTCTCTGTGTCTGTGTCTCTTTCTTTCCTTCAATCATTCTCTAATCACATGTTTCATGGTTAAAGTTTGTTTACTGGATTTAATTTGGATTATTTCAACACAATAAAGACCAGTTCATTCAAATTTGTTGTTTTCATTTCTGTTATAGTGACTGTACTCTGTTACTCTGTCATCAGATCATATTAACAATATTCAACTTTAAGTAGTGAAGCTTCATTGATGTAATAATGCTCATGCTGTTCACACTGTAAGAAATAAAAAAAAGTTATTTCAAATTAAATAATATTTCATGATAGTTTTATTTTTACCAACAAAGATGCATTTTCCTTCATTTTATCAGTGCAGGATTATATCTGAGGTAATTTCTTGTTCTCCTTGAGTCTCACCTTACAGAGTCTCTGTTTAGCAGAGACACTGTAAAGTTTCTCTTTATAGCTGCATTAAGAGAACTTTCTAATGCAGGTATAAACAAGGTGTGAATGAAAGAATGAAAGCGGGTGTTTTCATGAATTCATTTAAAATGTAGTTTGTACAAATCTACATTACTCAATACAGTTTCAAGGATTAAAAATGAAATTTACTTTCAACATGAGAAGGTTCTTATCTCAGATTTTCAAACCAAAGATTTTATGTCAGTGTTGCATATACCACACAGTGACACATTGGTCTATTCTGATGGAGCATGCAGGGTGAAACAGTAAACACAAATATCAAATTTCCATCACATACTCCTCCCTTGTGAGCATTCTTTGGTCACTCAAGAATATACAGCATTACAAAAAGATCATCAGGTCATAGAAAGGCATCATGATGTAATCTACACCAGTTTACAGTTTTTTTCAGTCGCTAACAAGCGCTTACCCATACTTCAGATACTTTTTCTAAACTCTTAACACAGACTCACACCTACAAAACACAATTGGCCAAATGGATAATTTTCTTTTCAAAAACACATTTTGTTAAATATATACTAACTCTTTATTTCAAAATATAACACATTTTTCTCTGCACACACTATCTTTACCAAAACACTGGAAATCTGACTCAAAATGAAATTATTCTGTCAAAGAATGACACTTGTTTTCACTTCACAAAGTACATGCAGTCAATCAAAGTACACCAGGTTTCAAAATACTGGCTATTGTTGACATTACAAAAACTACATAGACTTTTATGTTTCAGTTTTACAGGTATTTGCATGCAAAACATGCAATCCACCGTTTTTACACTAAATTTCTTGGTTGGTAACTGTATGTCCACAGTAATGTTCACATTCAAAAGCATTCCAGTAAAAATCAAATCCGTTTTTTTTTTTCCTTTACTGTTTACTACAGGAGGTACAGTAGAAACACGGTATGATAGAACAGAAAAAGTTTTACAGTATTTCTTACAGTGAACAAAATATCCGTGAAAGATAATAATTGGGGGAACTAAAAAAAAAAAAAAGCACAACATTGCTGTATCTAATCTCTGCGATCTTCAGGGTTAGGCCACATGTTTTCGTCAACATCACATCTGATATTATCCAAGGCGATGCACCTGGGATAAAACCGCTTGGTATGTCGGATCCACCCTTGACAATCCTGAACTGTGATGTCCCTGCAGCCAGCATCCATGGCTTCAAGGAGGGACATCTGGTCATGTGGCTGATGGTCATAAACCTTCCACCTCCATGCTGAAAAGAACTCCTCTATGGGGTTGAGGAAAGGTGAATAGGGTGGAAGGAAGAGACTTACCAGTCTTGGGTGAACTTCAAACCATGTTGTTATTGCTTGCGCATGATGGAAAGCCACATTGTCCCAGGTAATTACAAAGGTCCTCATGTTTTCACCCTCCCGATCCTGCTCTGGAACCAGGCGCTGGTGGAGATCATTGAGAAAGGCAGGGATGCGCTCAGTATTATAGGGTCCAACCTGACATCTGTGAAGGAGTAATCCTGCATTTGCAATTGCTGCACACATGGTAATGTTTGCCCCTCTCTGTCCTGGCACATCAACTGTGGCCCTTTTTCCAATTACATTTCGTCCACGTCGACGCCTTTTGGCCAGATTGAATCCTGCCTCATCTATGTAAATGAATTCATGAGGGGTCTGGTTGGCCTCCAATTCCAAAACTCTCTGAAACAAAGTTTATGTAAATCATGTCATTACTGTAATCCATACTGTACTGTAACCTATTACTGTGTAGGTTACCTACTTGCAAAGTTCAAAGCTTATAGAACTGGACATTGAATATACACTATACCTGGACATATTGTCGTCGTAGCTCCTTGACTCTCTCACTGTTCCTCTCAAAGGGAACAGTGTAGAGCTGCTTCATCCGCACTCTGTGTTTGGACAATGTCCGCGTAATGGTTGTGAGGCTGATGCTATCGATGTTATCAAACATCTCATGGTCCTCCACAATTCTAGTCTGAATTTCACGCAGTTTTATTGCATTGTTTGCAACAACTATTTCTACAATGGCAAGCTCTTGATCATTATTGAGGAGCTTTCCTCTTCCCCCAGAGGGTGGAAGACGTTGCATTCTTTAGAGGGACAAAAAAATTAAACATATGCATTACTGTATGACCTTATTGACATGTCAAGTGAGAATAGAAACAATCCATGTAAAATGCAATACTTACCTGTTGGTTTGTTGAAAGATGCGTATAATGGAAGCAACCGTTGACCGCCTCAAATTGGGCTGCACTCTTTCACCAGCCTCTCTTAGTGAAAGACCGTGGTTGATTACATGGTCAATGATAGTGGCACGAATTTCATCACTGACTACTGTTCTTGGAGCCCTTGGAATGCCACCACCACGCATTCTTACACCTCTACCTTGCCCTCTCCCTGCTCCTGCTCCTCTCACTGGTCCTGCTCCTCTGGGCCCCTTGCTCTTACTCTTCTTCGTCCAGACATTACAGTGTTTGTCTTTTTCTGTTTCTGTTTCCAAACACATCACTCCTCAAAGTCCTCCTTTTATATATGTGTCAATGTAATAGAAGAAAAAAACCCTGCCACTAAGCCAGACTGGAATCCGCTGTGGTTGGCCCAATTTACCCAACATAAATCAGCTGTGTGTCAATTATTTAAATGTTTGTTTATTATCAGCCAAGATATATTGTTTTCGAACTGATATCATTGCAGAAACAGAGGTTTTTATACTGTATCTAAGGTTTGGAATATTGTTTTTGCTATTATGGGATGGTGTGTGTTAACATTCGTAAATACTACAAAAATAATCCATAATTTTGTTGGGAGGTATAGCTTGTCTGTTAAGAAAATTTAAGCATTGTGGAAATGTGTTCACTGACGTATTATGCGTATTGTGTGAAAACGACATGAAATGTGTGAATGGTTTGGCCACAAAAGACCGATGCTGTGCTAACTGTGTTTAGAGTTTTGAAAGCTGATTGGACAAACGCTTGTTAGCGACTGAAAAAAACTGTAATCCAGTGGTACATATTCATCTGTTACTGGACTGCACACATTCTGTATTGTAAATGTAAAGGACTGAAACACTTACCTGTACATATTCATGTCAAAGTTCTTTGACCCTGACATTGTTCCTCTCAAATGGGACCCTGTACAATTGCTTCATGGTCATGTTGTGCTTTACTTAGATGCGTTTGATAGTGGTAATGCTTACTCGATGTTACTATGTATTATGTTGTTGAATACTTGCCTATCTAAGTATTTTTTGCTGTAGCTGGTGGAGACGGATTGCATTGTTTGCTCTGACTACTTAATACTGAACTTTACTGTATTTACCATACACAGTACTGAAACATCTCAACACATTATCACGGTATGTTTCACAAAACTACCACTTTTGTTGGAAAAGGAGCATTAGCCACCTTGCAATACAGTACATGTGATCCGGTAACGTGATATACAGTACTGTAAATACTCTAGATACAGTCTGAGTAGAGAGTTGAAGACATACCTGTTTTCCAGTTGGAATGTCCTTATTATGGATTTAACTGTGAAACAGCTTAGATTAGTGTGGACTCTCTGCCCAGCTTCCCTCATTGTCAGGCCATGGTTTATGACATGGTGCACCAAAGTTGCAAAGTTATGTCACCCAAAATAATGGTCCTCGCATGGCCTCTTAGACCATGTCTTCCTCTTCCTCTGCCTCTAGCTTTCCCTGCCTCCATGCTTGCAAAGTTCTCAAAATGGCTTTACTGAGGCCATTTTACTGAATGGTGTTCAGTTTTGTAAGTAAGTATTTTATGTGTGTATCTAGGTCTTTTCAATTAACCAATGTGTGTTGTATTTTGAATAGATGTGTTTTTCCAATGGTACCCTGAGATTTCATTTTTGAACTAAGTGTCTTATGTATGAAATAGTGTGTAGTGTCTAGGAGCAAGTGTGTTGCATAAAGGAGCAAGTGTGTTACAGAATTGCAACTAAAGTGCAAAGCAGCGATTTTGTTTAAGGTATGGTTACACTTTGTTTAAGGTATAGTAACAACAACTTCAAGTTATGTTACTTTGGTTTAAGCATGTGTCTTTAGTGTTCAAGCAATGGGTAAAAACTGTATTACAATATTGCACTGTGAAACAAGAGACTGACTGAACAGATATATTCTTGAAGAAGTTAAACCTGTCAAAATGAGAGTAAAGACCATACTTAAAAAAACGTTAAACATTCTTAAGTAGGAAAGTCACCTACAGATCGGTGTAGTGTTTATATACAACTACTGGCTTTGTGTGTGTGTGTGTGTGTGTGTGTGTGTGTATATATACAGTGTGTGTGTGTGTGTCCTCAGTGAAGTGTATCAGTCTCTGCAGTAGCTGCCAGCTGCACCAGTCAGTTCAGTTTCTGTTCAGTCTGACTGAGGGAGGTTTTTGTACCACGCTTTATTCATATCACATTCATTTTGCTTTCAGAGGTTGATATTTATTGTTTGCTGTTCTGCATGTTTCTTAATGTTTCATTCAACACTTGTTTTGCTGTCAGCAATTGAGGTTTTCATAAAGTATTTTATAGTAACATATGTAGCATTGAAAGGAGTTTGAAAAGTTGAATAGTGTTATTTTCTTGCAGAAATCCCATATCTAACATTTATAAAAATGCTATAAACTTAGCATTACAAAGTTGTATGTCAAACATTGTTCTTGGGCCACTGTGGAACAACTTAAATGTGTTTGTTCTTAGCAAACTGTATTGTTTTTCAAAGTTAAGACTGAATGTTCTAAAAAACTGCTCTAAAATAAAAATTATTAAAAAGCTCAATTCAGTTTATGTTGTAGAGCTTTTGATCAAATTACATCCCCTACTTATCATGGAATACGTGAACTTTGAAGTCGATGTGGAAAAGAAATCCTAAAAATCAGAGAAATTAGAATTAGAAGATCTACATTTCAATGAAAACTTTGCGACTACACCTGCTGAAGAAGATCGTGAGATGTGACTGAAAGCTCCACAACAGTTAGTGGAAAGACTTTGTGTAGAGATTGTTTTTCTTATTCAAAGGTAAAGAATGAGCTTTTAACCTCAATGTGTTGAAGTTTTTTTGTTACACAAATGTGTCTTGTATGCTTTTTATTCTGTTACAGTAATGCATTTGTAGATTTAGTTTTATCACATAGGTTACTAAACTCTGTTTATTATTCCAGTTGATATTGAGCTGTTCTTTACGCAAAAAATATTTTTAAATTTGAAATGGTATTTCGTGAGTTGAGGAAGTTTTGTTTGGGCCATCTGTTACCATGAAGGTGTCTGACAATTATCTGTTTCTTCATATTTCCTTCAAACAGGATATAGATGAAATAGCTGTGAGTAAGAATGAGGTAGTGGTCAAAGGGCATCACCAGGCCCATTAGCCGCGAAAGCAAGAATGCTCTTTTCATGATATTGTGAATGTGCAGTTTTTGTGTGTGTGTCCTGTGAAGTGTATCAATCTCTGCAGTAGCTTCCAGCTGCAGCAGTCAGTTCAGTTTCAATTCAGTTTGACTGAGGGAGGTTTTTGTACGACGCTTTTTCACTGTGTGAACACAGCTTTACTGTTTATAGCATGATAACTCTGACAGTAGTAAACTGCTGCATCTTCAGTCTGGACTCCACTGATGGTCAGAGTGAAGTCAGAGTTTGATCCACTGCCTGTAAAACGACCTGGAATCCCTGATGCTCGAGTGCTAGCACGATAAATGAGGAGTTTAGGAGTTTCTCCATCTCTCTGTTGGTACCAGGCTAAAAGGTTCCCATTAGCTACACTCTGACTGGTCCTACATCTGATAGAGACGGAGCCTCCAAGAGCAGAGCTCACTGCTCCAGGCTGAGTCACTGTGACCTGGCCTCTGGACTCTGAGGATACAGAGACAAAAACATAAAGCAGCATCATGGTTTTGTGGGCTTCATTTCAGAGGGACGGATATTCATAGAGGAGAGGAGTTTGATTCTCTGGACTTTACCTGTGAAGCAGCAGCAGAGGAGAGTCCAGATGAGGACGCAGATCAAAGTCATGTTTTTGATGAGGAGGATTTCTGTGGCTTCTGTTGTCATGAAGGACAGCTGTCAGTCATCCAGTGTTCAACTCTCAGGACTATAAAGTCTCCCAGAGCACTGGAGCATGGTGCTGCTGATGCAAAGTGGCTCTCTATGGAAATGCTCTGACTGACTCCAGCAGGGACTTGGATAACTCTGATGATGCTGTTTATCAATGGATCAATCACTTTATTAGAGTATTGATAAGACATTTTAGAGTATTGATTGGATCTATTAATTCTCTTTCATATATGGATTTGTCCACAGATAAAAGTTCTTTCAGGATGTCTTCTGTTCACTTCTTACTTCATAACTGTGAATGTGTTTGTTGAGTTTGTTTGTGTCAAAGTCAGAGAGCCGTGTCTCTCTACAGTGAGAGGTTTTTGTACGGCGGCTCAATGAGTTTGTATCACTGTGGTACACGTTCGGTGGAGGAACCAGACTGGAGGTTAACTGTAAGTACATTTGACTCCTTTAATAACCAAAATTCCATATTTGTTCAGTTTTATTTTATAACAGTAGACATTACTGCAATATCTCAGCTGATTATTCGAATTTAATATAATTGTAGTGATTCTTGAATGTGTCACATCATGTCCAGACTAAAATCTTCTTCAGTGAAAAAAATCTTCACTGAAATTCAAATTTAACACAGTTTTAAGATATCATGTTTTCTAAAAGGTTTTCTCTCTGAAAAAGCCCATGTAGTGGACTCATCATTTTTCAAAGGTTTTCATATCGTTCTGAAGGGTACTCACTTTTCATGGACATAACAAATTATTTTTTAATACATTACTGTATTAACAGTAATGTATTAAAAAATAATCAAACTTACTAATACACAGAACTATCTGTGTATTAGTAAGTTTGATTTTTTTGATACATAACTCAGTAGTCAAGTAGTAGTAGTCAGCACATTTTGAATGAACAAATCAAACAGACACCTTCAAGATCTTTTCTGTTTTGGACCAGAAATCTTAAAGTGAACAGAACATTAAAAAAAATACTCCTGAAATGTTTCATATTAGATACTGTATTTTTTTTTTTTAACATCATCATCATCATTTAACATTGTTTGTAGTTTGTTGATTAAACATGAATAAATCAGAGGAACAAAATGTCAGTTTAAACTTTTTATCTTTAGTACTGAAACCTGTCTGTTCTCATGGTTCAGCAGTCTAGCCTGTCTGTTACCATGGTTACTGAGCTCAGAGAGGGAAGTAAAACTTATTTTCGATACGTCTCAACATCTGGCAATCTTCAACTACTATTATTGATCAGTAAAGCACAGACAAAAACAATCATCCAAATTCAGTTTCTCAAAAACGTCTTCTCTCTCTCTCTCTCTCTCTCTCTCTCTCTGCAGTGGGTCGAGTTGTCCCCACCCTGACGGTGCTGCCCCCCTCCAGTGAGGAGCTGCAGCAGGGGAAGGCCACGCTCATGTGCCTGGCCAACAAGGGCTTCCCCTCAGACTGGAGTCTGGCCTGGAAGGTGGACGGCAGCAGCAGCAGCAGCAGCTGGGAGGAGAGCAGGAGCCCCGGGGTGCTGGAGAAGGACGGCCGCTACAGCTGGAGCAGCACCCTGAGGCTCCCTGCAGACCAGTGGAGGAAGGTGGGCTCTGTGACCTGTGAGGCCACCCAGGGCTCCCAGGCTCCGCTCTCAGAGACACTGAGGAGAGACCAGTGTTCCCAGTCCTGACCTGACTCACTGGGACTCTGCTACTGGTTTTACTCTGCTCTCTGAACTCTGTAACTCTCTCTGTGTCTGTGTCTCTTTCTTTCCCTCAGTCATTCTCTAATCACATGTTTCATGGTTAAAGTTTGTTTACTTGATGTAATTTTGATTATTTCTACACAATAAAGACCAGTTCATCAAATCTGTTGTTTTCATTTCTGTTATAGTGAAAGTAACAGTGGGTAGAGGTCGCGCCCCATGAACAAGGCTGACTCCTTACTGCAACAGCCTGGGTTTGAATCTCACCTGATCATCATAGTTTCAGTATCTGCAGTGTGATTCTTCACAGAGTCAGTGAGCTGTAGCTGTCCTCAACATATCATGGTGTTTCCCCCTCAGTGCTGAGAGCGTTGATCTACATATTTACATATTTACATATTTACATGAAGAGGATACTAAAAATCTGGTAATAAACTGTTTCAGTGATTTTGTTTTGTCATTCCAATGTGGAAAATGAGTTTAATATGGTCTGCTGACAATGAATAGTGACGTTATTTTAATGCGCATTGACGACAGATTTGGTTGTATATAATATCCATATTTTCTCAAATAAAGAAATGACAAGTCAAGAGCAGAGGCTGAAGCTGGTATATCAGTTAGCTCGCTGAAGAAACTACTAGGAATTTTGGACATGAGGGCAGAGCCAGAAAACAGCTTTTATGGAATATTTAAACTTTGAAGTCAACATGAACATGAAGTCCTAGCAATGCTCAGATGGATAGAAATATGAAAATTTTAATTTAATGACTGGGCGTCTTCATCTGCTGAGGAAGATCAAGCAATGTGAATGAAAGCTAGACAACAGTTAGTGGATGGATGCTGTGCAGAGACTGTTTCACTGTTTCCAAGGTGATGAATGAACTTCTTATCTCAATGCATTCATTGAGATTTTGAGGTGCATGTTAGAGAAAATGTGTAATTTAAAAATTTTTATTAACAGTTTGCAGTTAGAGTTATAAACATCTAATAAGAGCTTTTTTCCCCCATAAATTTAGTTTAAAATAATATTTTCATCGTGAAGATATCTTATGCTGATCTGTGTCTTCATATTTTGATTTCTGTAAAACAGTATGAAGTTGAGGTCAAAGGTCATGACCAAACATTTTTGTAATTGACTGTCCCAGATTGGATCTTAATGATTATTTGGAAAATAGATAAGAACATGGGATTTTTATTAGGATATGAATAGATGGTGAAAAGCTGTGATGGAAAAATTCATTTGATTTGCGCTAGATAGGTTTTTGTCATTGAACTTGTTTTTTTATGTAGGTTAATTGGTGGTTAAAGCTGCAATGTTCTATCTATTTGATTAAACAGTGTGTTTGTGTGTGTGTGTGTGTTCAGTTTCAGGTAGGAGTTGGTGTGAATACATGAAAGGAGGCCATTTTAACAGAAGCAGTAAGTCTGTTCTAGATGTTTTCCTTCACATCTTCCCTCTCTGTCCTGCTCTGGTCTATGTTGTACTGTATTAAACATGAGAATGAAGGAGCAGACGGTAAGTTTGTAGACTGCTGTTGGGATTTGCAGATGTAACGCTGCTCATTTATGCTGCAAAATAATAAATGCATATGTATACATTCTAGATATGGTGCGTCTGTATTTATTCCTTAATCTCTTTACAATATATCTGTAGTAGGTGATTTGAGGGGAGATGCCATCTTGGACCCTTTGACTACTTGTGGGAAGAATGGAAATAGTCAGTTCACTCTAGATTAAAAGCTCTGTTTTCTCTCTCTACTTTTCTTTTATTAAAGAACACCATGTGAAATTATTTCTCCGACTCATCTGTGTCCTTCTGTGTGTGTATGTCATTAACTGACTTGTGTAGCAATGTTTATCACATCAGATGATTTACAACACATGAAATGGGTCTGTGAGTTTCCTAGGCTGCTTAACCATTGCCTCTGATCTCTGAACGCTGAGGATTGTGGATTAAGCATGACCCCTCATGTATTATGTATTATATATAGTAATGTGGTGTCTGTATGTACATGTATGTTACTTTATATGTTAATGTCTAAATATCTATTGTCTAAATGTTGGAACCTATATCAAAAAGCTGTACTGGAAACAAATTCCACCAGCCTGGCTGTGTGGTCATTAAATTAAATCAATAATCTAAAGGTTTGAAAAGATGTGCTGGTTAAAAGAGAAATTTCCGACAGTGTATAAGGGCAATCAAATAACCTTCGATATTCCCTGAGATCAAAGTGGTAAATTTATGAAATAAAACTCACACATTTACAAGGAAAAAACTTGTATATTCCATGAGATTTTAAAGTAAATATTAAACATTTGGGACAAATAGGTTTGTTGGTGGATTAATTAAAAACAGAAGCTGGGCTCAAACAAACTTTTTGGGCTCAATCTCCGGGTCTAACCAGCTCATGGCAACTTGTCACTATCCGGTGATTTCACCCTCCTCCAGGGCTTCATTTGTTGAATCCCATGCCTCCTTTGCCACCATCAAAATCTGCAGCCACACATACAGGCCTACTGGTAGATGCACTGTATGCTGGAAAGTGGTTTATTGATTTTGGGTGTCTTTTGGCATATGGTTACTGGAAAACCCATATGTGAGCAAGTGGGTGTTTGTGTTGTGAAATTGTGAAATGAGATTAGAGGTTACACAGAACTGTTCATTGCCTGCTTGTTGGGAAAAACAATTATTCTGATGTGGAACTGAAGCTTTAAATAATTATTGTTATGAATTTGTTATTCTTCAAATAATATTATTTTGCTTTCAAGTGACTAACATTGTGTTTGTTCTTCTGTTTCTTTCTTAATGCGACATTCGATTTGCTGTCAACAATTGAGGTTTTGACAAACATTTGTAAATTAAAATCATGTGGCATAGAAAGGAGTTTGAGAAGTTGAATAGTGTTATTTTCCTGCTGAAACCACAAACTTTACCTTTGTTAGTTACTATAAGGTTGCCATACCAAAGTGCTCTGTCTGAAACTGTTCTAGTGCCAGTGGAGCAAATCTGTTTATGTTTATGCTTTACAATCAAAACTATTTCCCCACAAGATAAATACAGTGAATGATCTACGCTTTGTCACTCCCCTTAGCATTTCTGTGAGACTCACTGGACTGCCACAAAGCTTTTTAACATGTGGTTAACATAAAGTTAGGAAACAAAACTATTTGGTTAAAAAAAACAGTATGGATTAAATTTTAAAAAGTCAGTCAGCTACGTAACACTTCTGTAATTTGATTTCCACAATACTGATACTGTGACATTTGTAATCCACTTGATGAAATTGTGCATTTGCGGTACGTGTGTGTGTGTGTGTGTGTGTGTGTGTGTGTGTGTGTCCTCAGTGAAGTGTGTCAGTCTCTGCAGTAGCTTCCAGCTGCAGCAGTCAGTTCAGTTTCTGTTCAGTGTGACTGAGGGAGGTTTTTGTACGACGCTTTTTCACTGTGTGAACACATACTGACTGTTGATCCAAATGAACACTCTGACAGTAGTAAACTGCTGCATCTTCAGTCTGGACTCCACTGATGGTCAGAGTGAAGTCAGAGTTTGATCCACTGCCTGTAAAACGATCTGGAATCCCTGATGCTCGGGTGCTAGCATAGTAAATGAGGAGTTTAGGAGTTTCTCCATCTCTCTGTTGGTACCAGGCTAAAAGGTGGTTTGGGCTGCTATAGTAAACATTCTGACTGGTCCTACATCTGATGGAGACGGAGCCTCCCAGAGCAGAGCTCACTGCTCCAGGCTGAGTCACTGTGACCTGGCCTCTGGACTCTGAGGATACAGAGACAAAAACATAAAGCAGCGTCATGGTTTTGTGGGCTTCATTTCAGAGGGACGGATGTTCATAGAGGAGAGGAGTTTGATTCTCTGGACTTTACCTGTGAAGCAGCAGCAGAGGAGAGTCCAGATGAGGACGCAGATCAAAGTCATGTTTTTGATGAGGAGGATTTCTGTGGCTTCTGTTGTCATGAAGGACAGCTGTCAGTCATCCAGTGTTCAACTCTCAGGACTATAAAGTCTCCCAGAGCACTGGAGCATGGTGCTGCTGATGCAAAGTGGCTCTCTATGGAAATGCTCTGACTGACTCCAGTAGGAACTTGGATTACTCTGATGATTCTGTCTAGCAATGGATCAATACTCACATTTTGTGTCTGATATTTAAAATGTGATGTGTTCACAGGGACATGTTGTTTTTTGTTTTTTGTTTTATCAGTTTGTTTGAAAATGTCACGCTCTGCCGGTTGGCCATCCTTGGTGTTGCACTTTTGTGTTTAGTTAGTGTTATTTTGATCTGTTGGGTTTTGGGGGTCTGTCTTGTCTTTCGTCTAGTGTTCGGTAACCCTTGTCATGTCTGTTACCCCAGTGATCCCTCTGCATGTCTGTCTCTGTTTTCCCCTGCGCTCTCTCTCTCTCTCTCTCTCTCTCTCTCTCTCTCTCTCTCTCTCTCTCTCTACCTGTGCCTCGTTAGCCTCATGTCTTTCACCTGTGTTGCTCCCGCCCTGCTCGTTAGTCCCTGTGTATATATACCTGGTGTTTCTGTCTTGTCTTTGCCTCGTCATTGTTCATGTTACCCCCCATCTGTTGTGTGTGTACTCTCTGCCTGTCTGTAACCAGCGTTCCTTGTCTTGTCTCCCTGTACTTTTGAATTTTGGATTTCTGTTGTTCAGCCACTCACCTGTAAGTGTGCTCACTTTTGGTTATATTAAAACCCTTCGTTGAACTATACCTGCTCCGCTCTGTGTCCTGCGTTTGCGTCCTCCAACCTGCCTCCACACCACGATCGTGACAGAAAAAGTAGTTCAGTAGTTAACATTGTCATTTCAATATTTCATTGTTGATTCTTAGGTACATGAAATGGACAAACATACCATCTTCATGTAGGAGGCTTTTGCTTGAGACAGGAAATATTTAAGACAATTAAAACAATAAAAGCCTTACAGTCTTCACTATATGTGAAATATTTAATTAAAGAATAAAGAAAATACATAAGAGGAAAACTGTGCCTGTTACTACTTTTTATCTTTAGTCCTGAAAACCATCTGTTGTCATGGTTCAGCAGTGATGTCTATCGGTTGCCATGGTTACTGAGTTCAGAGAGGGAAATGAAACCAGTTTCATCTAATCTGAGGAAGATCGACACACTAGCAGCCTCCTCTCCTGAG